AGGTCGAATGCGACTTAAAACACAGAACGGGTCACTTGCGGTTTAAAGTCGTTGTTCATCGTTCTCGCCGAAGAAACCGGTTACCGTCTGCTCTTCAAAGATCGCAGGGGGGGTCTCACGAGGAAGAAGATGTGGCGTGCGTACCAACCAAGAACGTTGTATCGGTCGGTATTGCGATCATCGTCATCTTCACCGAGGTCGTTGATTCGGCCTGGGCCTTCAGCGTCACTGTCGGAGAAGCCGATGTTACCGGCTCGGTCAGCCACGAGCGCTTGGAAGTCGATGGTGTTGTTGTAGTCCTCGTCGGAGAGGAACGAGATATGGTAAGGACGTACCAGACGAATAGGGGTGCATCAGTTGCGCCGTGTCATGTGCGTAGTTCGTAGTCGCCCCTAAACGCTTCGAATCAAGTCCAGCTCTCCGGCCGTGTTCGTGTCATCTTCGACGTTGAAGATTTTGTCGTGAGTGATCACGCCGAACGTGTCCTTGGTTGCGAAAGCCTGTAGTCCGCTCTGCCCCGAATCGACCTTGGATTTTGCCGGTTTGGGCCGAGGTACGAGACATAAAAGTGTCGCAATGGATTTTTACGTGCAGATCACAACGCCAAATTGGGGTGGTATGGTACCGGCTGTCTTCCGCCATTTTATTCGGTGTCGGTTCGGTGAGGTTTGACATTAAAGCGGAAGGATTCGTCTCGGAGACCGGAATCGCGGGTGTCGATGAACGAGCCAGAGAAACGTCTGGGAAGGTGTCTTGGCCTTGCGCCTCGTGGGTTGGCGAATCGATCGTGATCTCTGGCGGAACAGTGTCGATCTCGATCTCAAGCAGTTGGTCACCGCCGTCGGTGTCCTTGTAGGCAATCACCACAACAGGTCCGCTCTCGACACCGATAACGGCGGCACCATCGGTTTCGTGGCTTGCGGCGGGTTTGGTGTCTAAGCCCCATCCTTCTTCATCGCCGTTTTCATCGGTAAGCATCAAATAGCCTTCGTAACGGCCACTAAACCTTTCGGTCTCATGTAGCCTCAGGAACTGCTTACTTTCACGATCGCTATCGGATCGAGCTTCGACAACTACTGCGTGTCAGGTGTGTCCTCCGCTTCGAGAAATCGGCTGCAAATGTCGTTGGAATGCGTCGATCCGCGCATACGAGTCACCATCTAGGCCACCGATGAGCGTCTCGAATTCGCTGGTGTGGTAGACGATGTACATCAAATTGACCGAGGCACCTGCCGTGATCGACTTCTCTGATGCTCACCAGGCGGAGCGACTCTTGAGTCCGGGCTCCGTCCTCAAGCCGTCGATCCGCCTGATCCGCAGTCCTCGTCGAGTTGAACTCCGCCGAAGCTTCGCAAAACGCGCTTGTCCGGCGTCGAGCGCGGCGCCGTCGCTCGTCGCCATCTTCTGGCGTTACTTGCCCGTAGAAAGTGACACGTGACAGAAACTCGTCGAGCTGTGTCGTGGGTTTGTAAGGGCTCGTTCTCAGCGCTGTGGCTGTCGTCTGATGGTTGCTGCCCTGATGATCGCGATCCACTCGATTAACCGGCCGTTGCCGTCTCCACGAACGCCTGCTTGGATTGAAAGTCTCCACTGCTACCTCATAGCCCGCTTCGGCAGCGCATACAGCGGTTGTCGAGCTCAGGATGTCTTGAATCACTTGGTATGCTCGCGAGATGATGAAACCTTGTCTTTTTCGACTATCAAAGGTGAGTTGGCATCGTCTGGCATGCTGAATAGACAAAGTGCATTTTGCGGCAATCCGTCGTACAAATATCAGGATTTTCGACAGGTGCGTTGCCTGCGGCCAACAGAATGGGCGTCCGCTTGTCGCGACCGGAGTCTGCGATGCTGATCTTGATGAGGTTGGAGTTGTAGAGGATTCCGCGCGGGCTGTCAGGCGCCGTTAGGGGGTCGAACGAATAGGTGGCGTATACTGCGCCGACCTCTACGATCTCGTCACGGTCAGCGACGTCGTAGCGCCGTCGCCGGCGGTGTCATCCACACAATCTGCGACCCCGAACACCTCGTCATCCGTGGTGTAGCAAGTGCCGACGTTAAGCACGTCGACTGTTCCGGTAGCCGCTTCTACCGTACCCGGTGAGCCGGCTCGCACCGCCACCACCGCAACGGCAAGTATCAGCACGGCCAGAGCCGTCAAGATTCTCGATGAAAGCTGCACAGCTGCAGTCCTCCTGTATCTATCTCTCTACCGGTTCGATACCCGACACGTAGACTCTGGCGATGTATCGCCCAAGTCAAAGCGGTCTTGCCCGGATGTTTCCATAGCACTCTCAAGACGCGCAACGAACCACACGTCCGTAGGCACGCCCTGAAAACTATATGATACCGAATATATGCCACTCCGCGCGCCCTGTCAATGAAATTCTCTAACTATGAGGGGAATGAGGGTTTGAACTATATCGAAGAGTGGATGTGGCGGGACTGAGTTGTTTTCGCTGGCGTCCGCGTCGCGGGAATGACGAGGGGCTGTGCGTTGACTTGGTTTGGCCCCGCGCCGCCCTGGGCCCTCACCAGTGACCCCCTCTTAGTCTCCCCCTGGGAGGGGGAGGGGTGATTGCTCGCGGGAGAGGGGTTTTGGTTGTAGGGGGGGACTTCTGCGATGTTGGTGGGGTATGTTGAGGGGGTGATGCTGGTTTGGTGGGGATGTTTGGGGGTATGCGCTGGTGGGGGGTAGGGTAGTGCGTGGTTGGGGCCCCACGCCGCCCTCGGGCCTCACCGGGACCCACTGCTTGAATTCTTCCCCCACTGGGAGGGGGAGGGGTGACTTGTCGGGCAGGGAGAGGGGACGGTTTGTTCTCGAGGGCGGGTATGCTTTGATTTGGGAGGGGGTGGGGATGTGGAATAAGACGGTACGGTCATTGATCGGCGTAAGTGAATTTCGCAGAAGGACCCCAGCACTTACCTCGGTTACCTCCTCCCGCGGGCGGGAGAGGGCTAGGGTGAGGGCACGGGGCCTCGGTGGGGTCCGTGCATTCACAGCCGTCAATTCGTCTGAGATTGCGCTCAGTGAGGCATTCTAATCTGTTTCTAGGAGCGTGGGGTAGAATCGGATCTGTCTGGAAACCTCGTGCCCTCGAGCCAGTGAGGGCCATTGCGTTCGCACGAGATAATCGGCTTTTGCACGCGTCAATACCGTGCTGTCCAGCGTCGATAGTAAACGATTAATTTCGCTCATACACAAACGAAGTCGACGTTGTAATGTCCGAATCGGTTGTTGGCTGCGCTTGAATTTGCGGCTCACCGCAACTGGCGTCCGCACACTCAAAAACCAGAGCATTCTTTCGGCCGGGGTCATGTTTTTTCGACGCAATCTTCGAGCGCCGTACAACCAGTTGGTCTAGATCCTGAACTTTCATAGCCACAACCCAGAGTGAGTTTATTAGAAACGCCACATTCAAATCAGTGTGAGTGGCGAAGACAACCAAAACGCCCCCAGGTTTTTCCCGGGGGGCGTTGCCTTGTGACCCCTGCCGTTGGACGGGAGGGGTCAGGGTTGGGGTTCAAGCTTATGGGGCTAGCGTGGTGTCGTCGGGGAAGAAGACCCAGATGCCTTGGCCGATCTTCAGGCTGCGCCGTCGTTAGCACGCGGTAGCCGTTGGCTATGGCGTCCCAGGTGTAGGCCTGGCGGAAGCCTGGCATGTATTGTCGTTTGCGTAGATCACGCCTTCGTTTGTCATCATGAGTTCGTCAGCCAGTTGTCTCGGTCTGGTCGCCGTCTTGGTCGACGACGCCGACGAAGTTCCAACCTGGCACGGTGATGATGCCGACCGGGGTCGGGTTGTCACCAGACTCGCGGTCCAGCTGACCTTGGAGGTCGACGCTCTGCTTGACGAATGCCATGGAGTGTACCCAGTATCCGTAGCGGACAACGATGTCCGTTAGCGGTGCGAAGTTCGCACTGGTCGTCCACAACGCCGTCAATGCGAGTGGCGATGCTCCACGGTCCGGTTGAGCTCAGCGGGTTCCAACCAACTACTCGGTCGATAGCTTCCTCGGTGAACACGGCGTCTAGCGCAGTGTCGATCGGGTTAGCCGGCACCGAGATGGCGTTCCAACCTGCGGTGAGGTCGATTACGAACGGGTCACGCGCGGTGACCTTGAACTCAAACGATTCACCTTCGAGTTCGTTATCAGCTGCGTCTGGCGTCGAACGCAACCTCGTGGGTTCCGAAGTCGAGATCTTGTGGCCAGTAGAGGAAGCGGTTGTCGCCGACCGATGAGAGGTCGCCGAGAACGTCTTCGCCGTCAACCGTCAACGCGGTGACGGTAACCGAAGTCATCTCACCAGCAAAGTCGAGGTATACGAACGGTCGCGGCTCTTTGACCTCGGAGTCAACCTCCGGTTGGACGCTGCCACCAGACCCGTCCTTGTTCAACGGGCTGTTGAAGGTGTTGTCGAGCGTGATTGTGGTGGTTACGGAGCCCCAGTTCTCACATCCGTCACTCTGACAGGCATCCGAATCATGCGCGTCGTATGTCGAGCGGTCCCGACCCCATACCACGGGACGACAGGTTGACGTCGTCAGTGGCGGGGCGCGCATCGGCAGATGCATTCCGCCATGCGTAGACCGAATTGTTTCCGCCATGGGTGTCGTGGGGTCCGCGACAGTGATGCCGACGGTAGGAAGTCCGTAGTTCCTTCATCGTCACCGCCGCAAGTCAAACCGTCTCGGTTGTCGGTTTCGTCGACACCGGTACGGTTGCCAACGTAGTTGTCAACGTCGAATTCATCGTCGCCTACTGTCCACTCGAGGTCGTCACAAACCACGGCCACTTTCGGAGAACCGTTCACGTCCTCGTCGGAGGAAATGGCGAAGTCCATCGCCGCTTTGGTCAACTTGGACGGGCTCTCAGAACCGACACCGGTTCCTGAACCGCCGACTGAGGGTGAGCGTGAAGACTGGAAGGATGCCGTCTGCGACCGCGAAGTCCTTGACTCCGGGTCCCCGCCGTCAACGGGTTCTTGCCAAGTCAGCTTGTTTCCGGCCTTGTCTTCGACCTCACGGCCCTCCGAGATGCTCAAGGTGGGTGTGGCGTCAGAAGCCAGTTCTTCGCCGAGTTTCAGGAATACGCAGCTTGCCTTCGACAAGCACGTCTTCAATCTCGATCGCGGTCTCTTCATCGTGTTCAAGAGCAAAGGTGCCAGTATCGATCAACTCGCCATTGATTGAGTTGTCGAACACGACCATACTGCCGAACGGTCTCGTATCAATTTGTCGTCGTCGTTCAAACCGTAGAAGCCGGTTACCGAGGCATCGGTGTTGACGAACGGGTCAATCTCGTCGATGTGGACGATGTGTCGTGAGAAGACACCGAGAACGTTGTGCGTCTTCGGACCCTTCTTACGGTCGGCATCGGGATCTGAGCCGTCTGCGTCATCCGCGCCGAGATCGTCGATGTATCGCGGGTTGACCGGGTCGCTATCCGAGAAACCGCGTTACCAGCAAGGTCACGCACGAGCGCTTGGAAGTCGACGGCATTGTTGAAGCCTTCAAAAGCCTCGTCAGTGATGGCCTCATCGAAGTCGATCTCTTCCTCGCCATTGAACTCACATCAGGCGCGCCGTCGTCGAAGTCGTCCGCCTCGACTGAATAGTGACCGCGGGATCCGCGGTGCCTGCCATCTTGTAGATGTCTTCGGCAATCACGCCAAAGGTCTCAGCATCGTCACATATCCGGAGTAGTCCAGTCGGCGGCGAACCTGAGCATACTCCATACCGTTAGGACCACCAACGCCCGAATCCACCATGATCACAGGATCTTCGTCACCCCCGTCGTCGGTGTTGTCGATGTCCAGCTGGAACGAGTTCTGCGGCTAGTCCTGAATCGGCGTCGTTGAACGTGCCGATGAAGGATGGCTTCTCGTCGTCGCTCCGCGTGTCGTGCGCTGGCGAGTCGACGTATGACGGTGGTTGGATATCGATCTGGATATCGTAGGTCTTGTTGTTGCCGTTGGTGTCCTTGTAAGTGATCGTCACCGGGCCGTCGCCGACACCGATCACTGCGTCGACATACACTTCCTCAGTGCCTGTTCGCTTTTCGGTGTAAGAACCGCTGAGCTTTTCGAGACCCCAGTTGATGCGGTCGGCACCGCCGTTGCCACTGCCGTCAGCGTCTGTCAATCGCAACTCGCCTTGGAAGATGCCGGTAAACCGTCCAGTCTCCTTCAACGCTAGTTGCCTTTTCGTGTCAGAAGCGTCCTCATCGGACTCGGCATGCAGCACAAAGCTTGCACCGTCTGCGATCTCGTCGCTCGTGCAGGTCGCCTGCGCCAGGGCACGGTACATCTCGTTAACGTCTGTCGTGTGTGATCTCGTGCCGTGTCGTCCGGGTCTTCGAAACATGGGTCGCCGCCCTGGATGTATTCCACACCACTCGTCTCGTAGTAGATGACCTGTAGATCGACCATCGCGCCAGTAGCGTCGGGGACGCTGACGTTCAAAGTCATGACCGGCGGTGTGTCCACATCACCGGAGAGCACGTCTTCGTCAAGGTCGAGATGAAACCATTCAATTGTTGGAAGGGGCCAAAGCCATTAACGTTGTCTCCGGCGTCTTCAGCCGGATTGCCGTCGTTCACTCTACCGAAGAACTTCACCACACCGTTGTCTTCAGCACTTGCAATCGGCTTGAATTCGGTTTCGTCCTCTCCGGCCTGCCCAGAGCACTTCATACGTGCCCTGAGTTTGCGAATGTCGCAATCAGTCAATCGGTCCCTAAGGGCGCCTGATTCCGCGAAATCTACAGCTTGTTCAAGATCTGGGAGGTCGGGATATGTAATACCGTCTACTTCAGCCGGGTCCGCAGACAGGCCAAGCGCATCGCCGATGACGGCGCGGGCGTCTGGTGGCATCCGTGAGTCTGCGGCGGGGCCAGTCTCCAGACTTTCAGTGTCTGCTCTAACGCGCAACGCCGTCTGCAGATCGTTCATCGTGACCCTGCGTGGCTGTCGGCGCCGTAATCAAAACTGGGTCCCTGCGGTCACGGCCTGAGTCGGAGATGCTGATGCGCAGGAGGTCACCGTCGGTGAGGATTGCGCGTGGGGATTCTGCGCCCGTCTTGGGGTCGTGAGCATAGGTCGCGTAAAGGGTATCGACCTCGATCAGATCATCGAGTTCTACCTGCAGGTAGAACGCGTTCAACTGTGAACAGTCTTCGAGATCGAACACATCCGCGTTGGTTGTGGCACATACGCCCACGTTCAATGCATCGATCGTTCCGGTAGCTGCGCTGACGTCGTCCGTCGCACCTTTAGTGCCGACGGCTACGCCGACGACAAATGCGAGCACGGCCAGTGCTGTCAAGATTCTCGCTGAAAGCTGCACGCTTCAGTCCTCCTGCTTACTTTCCCGGCACGATCGTGAACGAGCCTTGTCGACAAATGTGCCGTTCCAAGCCCGATACGCCCTCTGTCCGGATCTGTGCGATGTTTGCATATTACTTGCAAGCGCGCCAACGCGCAACCGCGCGCGGCGTGCCATGAAAAGTATATGATACCCAAAGTTCTGTGCGCGCGTAAACCCTCAATAAATCGTTTAGCCGATTTTAAGCCGCCATTCCTCAACAAAGTCTAACGGGCGCACCCCGGTTTTCCGAGATGCGCCCGTTGAATGTTGTTGCCCTCACCCTAGCCCTCTCCCGCCGAGCGGGAGAGGGGAAAGAGGTGCTTACGGTGCGATGCCGCCTTCGTAGTAGACCCACACGCCAGCGCCGATTTTGACCTGGTCGATCTTATCTAGTCCTTCGAACCGGCTGAAGGTCGGGTCCCAGGTGTACGCTCGCACGTAGTTGGAACCTAGGTATGCTTCTGCTGTGACTGGCGTTGTGCCGCTCAGCAGGCCGGTGCCGAAGTCGCCCTCGGTCTGGTCACCGTCTTGGTCGATGACGCCCACGAAGTTCCATCCAGGCACGGTGTCGATGCCGATCGGGGCCCCTGGCGAGCCAGAGTTGCGGGAGATCGGGCCTTGCAGCGCTACGGGTTGGTCGATGAACTTGTCAGACTTCACCCAGTAGCCGTACTTCGCTTGAATGTCGTTCAATGCGCCGTACTGCTGGTTCGATTCCCATACGCCGTCGCGTCGGACTGCGATGCGCCAGCCTTGCGTGTCCCAACCGATGACGGTCGTGATGGCTGCGTCGGTGAAGACCGAGCCGATCGAGGGTGTCGACCGGGCTGGCGGGCACCGAGATGGCGTTCCAACCGGCCTGGAGCTCGATCACGAAGTCTCCGCGCTCTACTACCTCGAAGGCGTAGTCGAAGGCTACCTCGTTGCCAGCGGCATCGGTGGCCTCGACCTCGACCTCGTGGTCGCCCTGCGAGATGGTCGCGGGCCAGTAGACGAAGCGGTTTGCGTTCGGCTCTTCGAACTGGTCGTTGATCTCGACGTCGTCAAGTTCGACGCTGTCCAGCGTTACCGTCGTGCCTTCGTCGAACTCGATCAGGATGAACGGACGCGACTCTTTCGAAGTCCCACCGTCAGCCGGTTGCAGTTGACCGCCGTCACCGTCTTCACCCTTCGGCGATTTTAGGTCCCGGTCAAGCGTGAAGTTAGCCGAAGCTGCGCCCCAGCTGTGGACGGTGTCTCCGTCGATGTTGTCGTAGTTAGACCTGTCACGTCCGAACGCAACCGCGGTGATGGAAGCATCCTCAAGGTTGTCGTCGGCCGTCCAAGTGTATTCCCAGACGTTGCCCGGGCGGTTCAGCGAAGAGTACGGGACTAGAACGAAGTTGTCTTCGAAGTTGTCGCCGTCTCTGTCGTACCCGCACGTGTATTGGTAGGAATCGCCCTGAGCTTCTGTGTTGGTGGCCTTAGGCTTCGTCAGGACAGGGTCTTCACTGGGTTCGTCTCTCGATGGTCCATTGCGGTTCGCAACGAAGTCATCGATGTCGTGGGAGGATGCAGTGGAATCGCCATCGATTATCTCGGTGACACCTGACTTGCTGTTCCAACTCAGGTTGCTGCAGACGACCCTTATCTTCGGCGAGACTTGGAGATCCTCGTCAGACTCGACCTGGATCGTGATCTGGTTCTTGGTCAGCTTCTCGGGACCTTCGTCGCCGGTGCCAGTGCCAGAACCGCCGCTGAGCGATACCGTCAACTGAGGCGTGATGCCGTCGTTGACCGTGATTCCGCCGAACTCGTTGGCCAACGTCTGGTTGCCGGCCCGGTCCTCGACGCCTTCGCCTTCGGTGATCGTCACCATCGGCGTCGCATCGGATGCGAGCTCGTCTTGCAGCTTCAGGAACACGTAGTTCCCGTCGACATCGACATCGATGACCTGCGCGTCGAAATCCGTGTCGAGCGCCACCGAGAAGGTGTTGGTCGAGACCGAACTCGGGTCTAGCGGACCGTCGAACGCCACCATGACGGACGATCGGTCTGCGATCGCTTTGTCATCGTCGTTCAGGCCGTAGAAACCGGTCGCCGACTGGTCCATGATGACCACTGGGTCCTTCTCGTCGAGCGAGAGGATGTGCGCCGAGTAGTAACCAAATACGTTCGGCAAGTCCCCGCGTTCGCCAATCGGTTCACTAAGGTTGTTGATGATGCGCGGTGCCGAAGGATCGGAGTCGGAGTAACCGACGTTACCGGCCATGTCTAGGACATAAGCCTGGAAGTCGACCTCGAACTCAGCGTCTCGCGTTTCGGCGTCTTCACCGCTATCCTGCAAGTTGAGGCGAATCGTGTCGGAGAATGTGGCGGTGGTGTCGCCGTCGTCGTAGTCATCCGAAGTGATGTGACACATGTCAGCATCGCCGCACGAGTCGTCGCCGATGTCGTAGAGATCGTCAGCCGTGATCAATCCAATCGGTGTGGCATAAGTACCGGTCAATTCACCGGTGTGCGAAACGCCAGCGGTGGGAGCCGTAACTGCGTCGGCATCGGGCATGTTGATGACGAAGTCATCGTTCTCTTCGCCGTCAGCATCGTTGTCTATCACCAACCGGAACGATTCGGCTACCAGTCCGGAGTCTGTATCCTCGAGCGAACCGTTGAAGTCTGGCGAGTGGTCGTCGCTTGCCGATTTGTGTACCGGGCTGGTGACCTGCACCGCCGGCGGCTGGTTGTCGATCTCGATGCGGAGGGTACGTGTTCGACCGTCGGAGTCGACGTACTCGATCGTTACCTCGCCGCTCTCGACGCCGAGGACGGGCAGCACAGCATCAGCGTCACTGTCGGAAGCGCCAGACCAGTGTTATTTCAGCGTCCCCATCGTCAACGAGTCGTTGTCATCTTGGCCGGCACCGTTTGCGTCGGTCAGCCTTAGGTAACCTTCGTAACGGCCGGTGAAGAGGCCGGTCTCTCTCAGGTAAAGGTTGACGGAATCCTCTTCCCCTACACCTTGACCGTCGCCTCGGCTCAGGACTACCAACGCGTCGTTGTCGTCGATCTCGTCCTCGGTGTAACAACGTCATCGGTCATGTTATTGACCGTTGCGTTGACAGGACAGTTGTCGTCGTCGTCGAGTTCGCCTTCGCAGTACGTTTGCCCGCCGATCAGGTTTTCGACACTGCTGGTCTCGTAGTAGATGGCGTAGATTAGGATATCTTTGCCTGACGGCACACTCGCGTTGATCCCCAGCCAAGGGGCGATGTTTGATTCGCTGTTCGCGCCCGACGATGCGTCTTCGTCGACTTCGATTGAAGACGTGACGTCTTGTAACTCGGTTGCGGCTACTCCGGAATCATTGCCATCTATGGAGCAGTTTGTGTCACCATCGACCACTGTGCAACCGAAAAACAGAATGTTGCCATTCACATCCATCGGGTCAGTAGCAGCAGCGGTACCCGTAAAGTTCAACGTCGTATTGCCGGAATTTGCGATCACGTAATCAGGCGGAGTAGTGCTATCCAGTAGCATGTCTGCCTTTAGCATGACCTCCGTCTTGTTGTCATCGTTGACAACCGATATCTTGGAATTGCCAGCCAGCAGATCCTGAATCGTGAGCAACGCTCCTGCAACGTCGTTTGTAGGTTCGCCTGCATTCGCCGCATCACGGAGGTCGTCTATTCGGATACCATTGTCGCCCGTGCCCACCAGTATCGGCGACCGCTTGTCGCGGTCGGAGTCAGCGATGCTGATCTTGATCAGGTCGGAGTCTTGGAGGATGACCCGTGGCTCGTTGGAAGCGGTCTTGGGGTCGTAGGCGTAGGTGGCGTAGAGGGTTGAGACCTCGGCCACTTCTTCGCGGACTTCCCAGGCTTGACCAGCGGAGCCGGAATCGTCACCGTTGAGGTCGCAGTCTCGTCTCGAATATCGTCGCGTCAGTCGTCAGGCATGTGCCCACGTTCAACGCGTCGATCGTGCCGGTGGCCGCATCCACGGTTGGCGGGCTATTCCTGCCGACTGCATGATAAACAGCGCGCCGATTAGCGTAAAGAGTGCCAGCGCACCCAGCATCTTCGATTTCATGCTAATTCTCTCTCTCATGCGGATCTCACTCACTGTCTTGTGGGTCACCGTATTTGTCGATAGAACCTCGCCTCAGGCTGACCTTCAGACGCAAGCGATCGCTCGCTCGCATACACAAAAGTTCGCCATTTGGCGTTCATGTTCCCGAATATACGAATCCAGACGAATCCGATTCAATGCACCACAACGCGTTTACCAACCGATTTCGCGGAAAGTTGTTGTCGTTTGTTGGGTGGGGATGGGGTGCGTCTCCCCTCTCCCTGCATGAGAGAGGGCTAGGGTGAGGTATCGGGGAGGACATGGGGCGCGGAACAACCAACGTGTCGATTGCCGGATGCGACATTGGTCGCTGCACCCGCCCGCACTCCCCATTTCCGCCCGGGCCCCCTCACCCTAGTCCTCTCCCACGGTGGGGAGAGGGGATACCTACCCGTCACACCCCTTCACAACCACCCACCCCTCGCAACCCCTGGTCCCCGCTCTTACACGTAACGGCGTGGTTTCGGGGAATGAAGTGGGGGTGAGAGGGGATGGATTGTAGGAAGGGAGTGGGGTGGGGTGTTGCGCGGTTGCTAAATACAACCGGACAATCTCGGGGAACCGACGTCACTGGTGAGTGCGCCTAACTCGCGACCTCTTCGCGTAGCTTGTGGTTGAGGTCGTCGAGATTTATTCGGTCTTGATTTACAGCTTCTACAAGCAATTGCTTGACGCGCGCTTTTGGAATTCGGAGGTATCGGTTTGCTTCTAAAGCAGCGACGACGCTACGGGCTACATTACCGAGCCGCACGTAATCAAGCCGAGTGACATCGACGTGCAGGTCTGTCAACTCAGTTACCGGGGTTCGCCCTTTCGTGTTGCTCAAGGTTAGGCCGTCGCCTTCTAGCTCGTCATCTGGTAACCAAACCATGTCGAGCCGGTCACCCACGGTGTCGCGTCCAGCAGCTATCGCTAAAGCTGCGTTTTCGAGATCACTTTGTTCTTCGCTTGGACACCGCCAAAACGAAAGTGAATTCTGTTGAGTCTTAAGGTCAACGGTTACGCCGTCAGCAGGGATCTCATCAACCGATGAACCCCGCTTGCTCTCCCATTTTGCGCGCGATATCTTGCGAGCCAAGAACATACTCTAGCCGGCTAGGTCATTGACAACGTCGACGATGTATTGTCGAAGCCATGGCTCTGGCTCAGAATGTGCCTCAAGCACACTGGCCAATTCGAAGTCAGCCCACGATTTCCGCTGGCGTGCACCAACCGCACGCTCCTGATCTCCACATCGTCCGATGCAAGCAGGTCGCGGACTATCCTACCGGCCAGGGGAGTGGTTCCCTTCCCCCAAGCCTCTCGTCACGTCCGACGCAACGAAGAACCGACGCAGCGAAACTCGGCTGCGAAGCGTCCTTACAGAACCCTCCGAGCCAGTCCACGATCTGATGGTGACTTTGCGTCCGCAATGATTCAGCGATGATTCCCTCAGCCGGATGTTCCATTCCGTCCTCAACGGCATCGAATTCGAAGCTGGTCCAAAGTTGGCCAGCAAGACGATCTCGGCCAAGATAGTCGGCAACCACCTCGCGGATAACTGCGGATTTTCGATCGAACACCCCCCACTTCCCTGCGATCGTGTGTCCCGAATCTGTCAAGTTTTCGGATGGCACGGTACCGACCACGCCGGGATTAGACACGAACCGCCAAACCGGATGGCTGTATTGGCTGATCGGCGCAAGATTGCCGTAGTCGAAAATCTGGCAATTCGCCATCGCGGCGAAGCTATGCTCGGCCGACATCGGGGTGTTTGGATACTGGTCCCAACGGTTGCCAACAATTCCAGAAAGAAGGGTAACTCCAGACATAGGTGATGGTGGCTCATGGATTACCAGATTGCTACCCGCGACGTCTACCGAAATCGGGCCGGATCCAACAATCTTGTATTCGACATCGTCAGTCTGAAGGTAATCTCCCGTGTACGGATCAACAGCGATTGCAAAATCATCTCGTTCGTCTTCTATCCCCAACAGAACAATCGAGTTCGGGTTAACTCCGTGTCGATTGAATGTCGAAGATGTAGTTGGTTCAATTTTCGTGATCATCTTTGTTGTCCAACCGCTCCACAAAAGCGTGGCTCTTGTCCCAAACCTCCTCTAGGAACCCTACTATTTCGGTTTCGTTTGGCAGAGGATGTCTCCCAAAGTGCAAATTGCCGCCCAAAAACACCCTTGATTCTGTCGGGTTATTGAACCTTGGCTCTAAGTTAAATGTCCAACTTCGTCCGTTGTCATCGAAGATGAGCCTGCCAGCGCCGCCTACGAAATTCCAACCCTCGTTGCCAAGCGGTTGCCCGTCGAAGAGTTTTGCCGACAGATAACCGAATGCGGAAGGCTGTGAGTCTTGGTCAAAAATCATCTCGATATTGAATCCAAACGCCAGATGAGGACGTTCCGTAAGGTTGTGTTGTCGATTGCTTGCCAAGCCACCTCAGCCAACCTGCTCAGATCCCCGCGCGAGGGATATTCGCGATTAACGGTAGACCTCGATTGAGACAGATCCAGCGTGATCCGATCCCTATTTAGACCAAGCGTGAGGCCGGGTTCTGTTAAGCCGGAAGCGATATTCGCGACTAAACCAGCCCCTGCTATCTGGACATCCGAGCGAATCGCCTTGCCAAAGCGCTCGATCTGTTCGGGAGAATTGAGCAACCGAAGACCAACCAAGACCAGATTCGCCTTAACAACGTCTTGTATCTCAACTGCCATTGCGTTTTCGACTATCAGCACGTTGGCCGCCATGTGACGCAAGCGATGCCACATGTTCGGCGTGTAACTCTATCATAGGTACACGATGTAGCCCGGTGCCGTGGTTTCAAGCTCGATAACCGTCGATCGGGACATCGTCTAACCACCTACATTTCCATTATCGCGTCACCGAGTTGGATGACGACCGCACCACCACCACATCCGCTTCTCTACGGCGCGATGCCGCGCACCCTAGAGAGCACAGACCGTCCCCAATCCTCATGGTGTCGATTGGGCGGAGGGTGTCGAAGCGGTTGAAGGTGGCGTCCCAGGTGTAGGCGCGGATGAAGTTGGGTCCTAGGTAGGCGCTCGCCGTCACGGGGACGTCTTGGCTGTCGCGCAGGGAGACGCCGAAGTGGTCTTCGGTCTGGTCGCCGTCGTTGTCGACTACGCCGACGAAGTTCCAGCCGTTAGAGTGGGGATTTCGTAGAGGCTCGGGACTACGCCGTCGCTACGTCTGATGGTGCCGCGGAGCGCGACGCGCTGCTGCACAAACGATTCCGATTTCACCCAGTAGCCGTAGCGGGCACGGATGCTGGTTAGGGTTCCGAACGTTTGGCTCGATTCCCAGACGCCGTCTCGGCGAACCGCAACGCGCCATCCTTGGGTGTCCCATCCGATAACGGCTTGGATCGCGGGGTTGGTGAATACCGTTTCGATGTTCGTATCTATGGGATCGGCCGGTACTGATACGGCGTTCCATCCGGTGACGAGGTCCAGAACGAAGTCGCCTCGCTGAGTAGACACGAATTCGAGATCGAACTCCAACGGGTTGCCCGCGGCGTCGGTCGCCTCAACGACGATCTCGTGCTCTCCGCGCGACATGCTCGGCGGCCAGTAGACGAAGCGGTTCGTCTCCTGGTTCGTGAAGTCGTCTTTGATCTCGACGCCGTCCAGCGTCACGCTGTCTAGTGTGACCGTGGTCGGCTCGTCGAATTCGATGAAGACGAAGGGACGCAGTTCGGTGGATGTCGAGTTGTCGTCAGGTTGAACTTCGCCGCCGCCGGGTCGTAACGGAGATAAGAACTCGGTGTCCAAGGTGAAGTCGGTCGATGACGCGCCCCAGCTCTGTACGGGTCGACCATCGCGAACGTGCCGCGACCGGTCGCGCGCAAATGCCACGACCCGCAGTCGACCGTTTTCGAGCGATGCGATGCCGCTGCGCGTGTTGCGCCACTCGATTTCCCAGTTCTCGCCGGGTCTTGAATTCATCGACCGTTCAGTCAGCTGGAAGGGATCGCCACGGCTGTCTCGGTCGCGGTTGTATCCGCAGGTGTAGTCGGTTCCGGAGACCTCGCCCGGCTCGCTGGGGAAGGCGCCGCGGCGGTTCGCAATGAAATCGTCGATGTCGTACTCGATCGTGCGCCCATTAACCGTCTCTTCCCAACTCAAACTCTCACATACGACTACGAATGTCGGGGTGCCCTGCAACGGTTCGTCCGATTCGACATGGATGTTGATGAAGCTGTTCGTCAGCCGATCCGGCCCTTCGTGTTCCTCTCCCCTGCCCGATCCGCCGCTCAAGGTGACGGTTAGGCGAGGCGAGATGCCGTCGTTCGCTTCAAATCGTGGCAACTCGCGGCCCGAGGTGATGTTGCCAGCAAAGTCACGGATGCTCTCGCCAGCCGAGATGCCAACATACGGCGTCTCGTCCGAATCGAGCTCGTCCGCCAACTTCAAGAAGACATGTTCTTCGTCGACATCAACATCCACGACCTCGGCCTCCGAACCATCGTCCAATTCGACATAGAACGTTCCCAAGCCGATCGAAGACGGATTGATGGGCCCATCGAACACGAGCATCACGCCGCTCCGGTCGGGCACGGGGTCATCGTCGCGGTCCCGACCGTAGTAGCCCGTCGCGGAGCGCATAGTGCTAATCTCCGGGTCCTTCTCATCGAGACCGATGATGTGCGCGGAGTAGTATCCCAACACATTCGGCGCGTAACGTTCATTGGACTCTTCCTGCCCAAGATCGCCAATGAAGTACGGATCGTCCCGGTCGGCATCGGAGAATCCGACATTCCCGGCGATGTCGACTACAAAAGCTTGGAAGTCAACCCCGAACTCCTGTTCATCGCCATCAAGCCGCAAGCGCACAGAATCGTCGAAACGGCCGGAGCCAGCGCCATCGTTGTAGTTGTCAGCTTCGATGTAGCACCTGTCTTGATTGCGACTGCAGGAGTCGTCTCCGAGGTCGAATAGTCGCCGCGGATCGATGACACCGAACGGATCGTCGCTCGAGGTGCTGTATCCGACGTAGTCCTCTCTTCGAGTCACACTCCCGCCCGGGCCGCTTCCTCGGACCGGAAATTCCGGCACGATGCTATCAAGCGCGAAGTTGCGTGAGGAGTCGGAGTCGTTGTCGACGACCAGTCGGAAGGAGTCTTGAGCGAGACCGGAATCATTGTCTTCGAATGTGCCAACGAAATCAGGCGAGTGGTCATCGCTGGAAGACCCATGCCGCGGCTGATCAATGTCGATCCGCGGCGGTTCGTAATCGATCGCGATACGAAGCGTTCGTCGACGTCCACCCGAATCTCGGTACTCGATAGTGACCGAGCCGCTCGCCACGCCGAGCACCGCCGCATCCGACTCGCCACTGCCGTCCGCGTCGCGCACGCGCGCTCCCCAGTTGGTGCTTTGCGTATCGCTTTCGGAGTATCGACCGTCGCCGTTGGTGTCGGTCAACCGTAGGTACCCCTCGTACCTGCCAGTGAATAGACCAGTCTCTGCCAGATGGAGGTTTACGGCATCCCGGTCGCCGTCGGAACTCGCAAGGAGCAACAGATCGTCGTTGTCGTCGATTTCGTTATCCGTATATTGCACATCGTCATCGCCGTCTCGCTCGTCCGCTTCGCTGCTACCGCATCTCCAAACATCGTTTCGCTCGCGTTTCGGATCGTCGCCGTTTGGCAGTGGTAGTAAGCTCGATCGCCGCGCATCGATTCGCGCCCGCTGGTCTCGTAGTAGATGGCGTAGATCAAGACGTTTTTGCTCGCCGGCACGCTGGCGTTGACGGCCAGCCAAGGAGCGACCGACGGGGTTACGCTGCCGGAGATCCGGTCTTCGTCGACTTGGAGCGAATTGCTCACGTCGGTCAGCTTGTCATCGGCGCTACTCGACAGTGAGCAGGTAGAAAGATCGGTTACGCATCCGAAGAAGCGGATGTTGCTGTCACCGTCCATCGGCTTGTAGCTGGAGCCGTACTCAAAGTTGAGCGTTCGGCTGCCTGAAGTTTGGATCGTAGCAATCCCGCTTGAGTCGCGGACGGTGAGTCGAGTTCCCGATTCGAATTCGGTATCTTCGTCGGCGGCGATGAGATCGCGGTTTCGCAGTAGCCTTCTTATCTCCGCCAATGCGCCGACGATTTCGGAATGACCTTCGCCTCTGACGAGCACGCCGGTCCGCTTGTCACGGTCGGGGTCGTAGATGCTGATCTTTAGGAGGTCGGTATCTTCGAGAAAATCGCTCGAGGTTCGTCCCAACCCGTCTTTGGATCGTGGGCATACGTCGCGTAGAGCGTCCGCACATCCTCGATCTCGTCTCGGATTTCCCAACCATCGGACCGATTGGAAAGGTGGCAAGACTCGTCTTCGAAAATTGAGGCGTCAGTTGCGAGACACGTGCCAACGTTTAGAGCGTCAATCACCCCGGTCGCTGCATCCGCTCGTTGCACCCCGTTTCCCGAAACCTGCAACGCGAACACGCCGAACAAAACCGCGACGAAAAGCACCAAACCCAACAGGTTCCAATTCTTGTGCCTTGGGTTTTTCATCAACGTTTATTCCAGATTGGCGAAACTGTCACCTTCATCAGGGCAACATGCGGTGGACGAATGACGTTTTCATCGTGTCAACATCGGGCCGCGTTCATAAAGATAAACGTTGACGACGTGGGTTTTGTTCCATCGAGCGAACAGAAGCGGTTTCTATCCGCTCGAATGGAAGCGATCAGGGACGATTGCGCCCCCTATTTCTCGGTGATGCTCCGCAGGAACGTCGCGTTGTCCTTCGACCGCGCCAGGCGTTCCAAGATACGCTCAGTCGCCTCGGTAGGGTTATTGCCATTCGAAGATTGCTGTTGCAGCAACGAGAGCATCCGACGCAACAACCAGACCTGTCGCAGAGTTTCTGGGCTCTGCAGCAACTCTTCGTGGCCGGTGCCGCTGCGTTCCATCGAAACCGCAGGGTAGATCCTACGATCCGACATCGTGCGGTCGAGGTGGAGTTCCATGTTGCCGGTGCCTTTGAACTCTTCGTAAATCAAGTCGTCCAAACGGCTGCCGGTCTCGACCAGTGCGGTCGCGACGATGGTCAAGCTACCGCCCTCTTCACAGTTCCGCGCCGCGCCGAAGAATTGCTTCGGCGGGTAGAGCGCCAACGGGTCCATACCACCCGACAACGTCTTGCCGCTGCTCGGCAGCTTCACGTTGAAGGCTCGTGCGAGGCGGGTCAGGCTGTCGAGAACCAAAAGCACGTCTTCGCCGGATTCGACGAGTCGCTTCGCCGGTTACGTGCCCGGTCTGACGTCTCGCATTGATGCTCGACCTGCTCGTCGAATGTCGAGGAGTAGACCTCGCCCTTCACCGTCCGGCGCATGTCGGTTACTTCCTCAGGCCGCTCGCCGATCATGCGACGATGATGTGGACCGCCGGGTAGTTCTCCGCGACGGCGTGTGCGATGTCTTCAGATCACCGTCTTGCCGGCCTTGGGCGGAGCCACGATAAGTGCGCGCTGGCCCTTGCCGATCGGAGCGATGATGTCGATGACTCTACTGTTCAGCTTGTTCGGGGCCGTCTCGAGCGTCAGCTGCTTGTCAGGGTGACCCACGGTCAACTGCTCGAAACGCGGGCGACGACGCGCAAATTCGATGTCGCGACCGTTCACCAACCTCGGCACAGCAACGGGTTGTTGCCGCGTCCGCGAGTGCGTTCGCCTTGCGACCGCACCGGACCGACGATGAAATCGCCTTGTCGCATGCCGCTCTTGCGAAGCAGCCCATTGGGAACGTAGATGTCGTCATCGCTGCTTGCGCCTCCGGGAGGTCGCAAAAATCCGTAACCCTTGTCGTGCACATCGAGAATGCCAGCACCGATTGCGATGCCTGTAGCTTCTGAATTTGCCAGGAGAATCTGCAAAGCCAGCTCAGTGCGACGTTGCGGGATATCGACGAGGCCGATGGTCCTTGCCTCCACCATCAACTCAGCGTTGGTCATGGCTCCAAGGTTGCCCAGAGCTGTCTGGACTCAATCGTTCTTGCTGACGTGGGCGGGGTTCGGGGCAATTGCAACTTGCCTCCGTTGTCCGTTCTGATCAACTGGAATCGACGTATCAATAGGGGTACGTGTCATTAAGCACCTTCGCGTTAGGACTAGCGAATAACTAAAGTGAGGGATCGCTTCTCTGCGATTAATCTCCGAGTGGAGCGGCTGCCTGCCCGCCAATCTTCCCCATCTGCCGTTTGTTCACACCACACCGCGCATGGCAATCCGCGTTCTGCGAGAAAGGTTATATGAATCAACGATAGCGAGTCAAATCATGCAGATGGCGCGAAATGGAAAGCCCTGTTGATTGTGCCCACGTCGCGTCGGCGTCAACTTCCGACGGACACCGCGCTCGCGAAAAGTTGGTGCTGCGTGCCGTCGGGTCGGAACTGACGCGCGTAACGCACGAAGAGATCGAACAACGGATGCGGCTGTTCGGGGCGAGACCTGAACTCCGGATGGAACTGACTGCCCAACATGAACGGGTGATCAGAGATCTCGGCAATTTCGACCAACGATAACTCCGGATTCATCCCGCTGCTAAGAAGACCTAACCGCTCCAACCGATCCCGATACGCGTTGTTGTACTCGAACCGATGGCGATGGCGCTCGTTGATCTTGAAGGTTCCGTTGTGCTTCTCGCTGCCGTTCTTAGCCATCGCGTAAGCCTCGTAGGCTCTGGTGCCCGGTGTGAGAACGCAGGAATACGCACCGAGTCGCATCGTCCCGCCAATCTCGGTTACGTTCTTCTGTTCTTCCATCAGCGCGATCACCGGTTCCGACGCTGCCGCATCGAACTCCGTCGAATCCGCTTCTTCGATACCCGCGACGTGGCGGGCGAATTCGATGATCATCATCTGCAAGCCCAGGCACAGGCCCAGATACGGTATCTCCCGTTCACGAGCGTACTGCGCGGTCTGGATCATGCCCTCTGTCCCGCGCTTGTCGAAACCGCCCGGAACCACAATGCCCTGCGCCTTCGAGAGATAGCGATCTGCGCCATTCTCCTCGATCAACTCCGACGGCGTCCATTCGAGATCAATGCGGATACCTTGGTTCAACTCCGCGTGGCGCAATGCTTCAACTACCGAGAGGTAAGAGTCCTGGAGGCTCGTGTATTTGCCCACGATCGCGATGGAAACTCGCTCCATGTCGCTGTCGTAGACAAACGAACCTTCGCCGTCGTTCGCCAAGTTCGGCTTATCCGCCAACGCCTTCCACACCGGTGGCACCACCGGATCCCGCCGCTCGAATCCGAGGCGATCCATGATCACCTCTGCCAATCCCTGTTTTTCCAACCAACCAGGAACCGCGTAGACATTGCCCAAAGTTGGGAGATAGATGATGGCGTCACGCGGCACCCCGCAGTGAAGACTGATCTTGTCCTTCAGGCTCTCCGCCTCTTCCTCCGAATCCGTTGGGTCGTTAAGACGACAGAGAATCGCATCCGGTTGGATACCCAACGCTCGGAGCGCACGGACGCTGTGCTGCGTCGGCTTCGTCTTCAACTCATTTGTCGGTTTCAGCAAAGGAACCAACGTGAGGATGTATTGAAAACGAGTTTTGGCGTCCCTCCATGTCTCGCATCCAACGCACCGCCTCGATAAACGCCTCCGCCTCCATGTCGCCGACCGTGCCGCGACCTCGACGATCACCACATCCGCGTCCTCGCTCTCTCCCAACTTCTTGATCCGCCGAGCAACCGCGCTCACAAGATGCGGCACCACCTGCACCGTCTCGCCCAAAAACTCCGAACCCATACGTTCCTTGTCCAGCAGCTCGTTGTAGATCTGGCCCGCGGTCACGTTCGACAGGATCGTGAAGTCCTGGTTCAAAAAGCGTTCGTAGTGCCCCAGGTCCAGATCCGTTTCGCTACCATCCATGGTTACGAAGACCTCGCCGTGTTCGAGAGGCGACATCGTGCCGGGGTCAACGTTCAGATAGGGATCGAGCTTGAGGATGGTGACCCGCAACCCTCGATTCTTGAGCATTCGCCCGATAGATGCGCAGGCGATGCCCTTACCCAAAGAGCTGGTCACGCCGCCCGTGACGAAGATGTATCGACGGCGCTTACTCACCGTGAGAGACGAGCGTTGTTAAGGAGGTTCGGCACATGAAAAGTCTATCCAACAATCGACTATTTCGTGAGCGTCCCAACCCGAAACCGCACAGATTCGCCCACATATAGAATCTTCGTTTGTGACACCAACCCGAACACGAGCATATGAACTCCCCATCACTGACGGAAGAAGATGTCCGACATATTGCACGCTTAGCGGCTCTCCGCATTGATGACGATGAAGTCGAGACGATGCGAAGCCAACTGTCAGACATCCTCGCCCACTTCCAGACGCTGGCAGAACTCGACACCGAGGGAGTGCCGCCGACCGGCCATACTACCGACGCGCACTCTGTGATGCGTGACGACGAAGATATGCCGGCCCTCGATCGCGAGCAAACCCTCGCAAACGCACCGTTCGTAGATGGCGAATTCGTCCGTGTCAGACCAGTAATGGAATAGCCCTTACCTGCTGACGCTCGTTTTTACCAGATTGCGTTTCCCACGATGACAGAACCCAGCCCCGAGACCCACGCGTCGGCGCGCGAGATGCGCGCCAAGTACGAATCCGCGTGACGACCGTCCGCGAACCGCGCTCGCACACCTGGAACGCATCGAAAAGTCGACAAACACACACACGCCTTCCTCACGGTACTGGACGAAGATCAGATCATCGCCCAAGCCGACGCCGCAGACGAGATGCTCCAAGCCGGGGAAGCCTCAGCCTACCGGCATCCCATTCCTCATTAAGGACAACATCTCCACAACGGCATCCGCACCACCGCCGCTTCAAGATCTTGGACGGCTACGTCCCGCCATTCGATGCCACTGTCGTCTCGCGACTCAAAGATGCCGGCGCAATCATCCTCGGCAAAGGCAACCTTGACGAATTCGCCATGGGGTCGTCGAACGAAAACTCCGCATTCGGCCCGGTCATCAACCCTTGGGGCAATAACCGCGTACCGGCGGTTCCAGCGGTGGCGCGGCGGCGGCCGTCGCGGCGGGTGAAGCCGCAATGCTCTCGGATCGGACACTGGGCGGCAGCATCCGACAACCCGCGTCGCTCTGTGGCGTCGTCGGATTCAAACCGACATACGGCACGTCAGTCGATACGGACTCATCGCATTCGGCTCATCGCTCGACCAAATCGGACCCATCGCAAGAACCGTCGCCGACTGCGCCGACACCGCAAACACGATATCCGGACGCGATCCATTGGACTCAACGTCTCTGGATCTTGACCTAGATTTTCACGGAATACCTGGATCGCGACATCGATGGAAAGCGCATCGGCGTTCCGCGGGAATACCTAGTCGAAGGCATCGAACCAGGCGTGCGCTCCGCATTCGATGCATCGATCGCCGTCCTCGAAGGATTGGGCGCAATCGTCGAAGAAACCAACCTTCCGCTCACCGATCACGCGCTCGCCGTCTACTACATCATTGCTCCTTCCGAAGCGTCCGCCAACCTCGCCCGTTTCGATGGCGTCAAGTACGGAATGTCGATTGAAGGTGAACCAAACGCTCGCGAATCTATCGAAGCAACAAGAGGCAGCGGATTTGGCCCAGAAGTGAAACGGCGCATACTCATCGGAACGTATGCACTCTCAGCCGGGTACTACGACGCCTACTACAAGAAAGCGCAGCAAGTCAGGACTCTCATCCGGCGAGAGTTCCAAGACGCCTTCCAAAAGTTCGATGCTCTAGTCATGCCGACATCACCGACCGTAGCCTTCGAGCTCGGTGAAAAAACGCAGGACCCGTTCCAGATGTATCTCAGCGACGTCTGCACCATACCGGTCAACATCGCTGGGCTTCCCGGAATATCGGTTCCCTGCGGCCTATCCGAAGGTCTGCCAGTCGGATTGCAGGTAGTCGCGCCTCAACTGGGGCGACCGCACCGCGCTGCAGATCGCGCACGCCTACGAGCAATCGGCCAATTGGAAGCTGACACCACCAGAACTATGAAAAACCTCACCGCCCTAAAACCTTCGTTCGTCAACCTGATCGTGGCGATTTCGATCGTTGCGCTCGCTGCGGTCTTCGCCTGCACGTCCGAATCCGAAGAAGATACGGCGACACTGGAGCCCGAGGTGGGCGTCAGTACCGCAGAATTGGATTGCCCCGATCTCGAGGTAAACCCGGACACCATAGGAGACGCTCCTCTCGGTCCACCACCCGCACTACCGAACATTTTCACGGGAACCGCGTACGTAAACGGTGAACCAGTACCTGAAGGTGAGCAACTTTACGTGAAACTCGTCACATCCCGTTCACGCTCCGTCGATATCTTGGAAGGCGGGAAATTCATCAACATCATTCACGGTCCTGTCAGCGAGCTTGATCAAGGCATCGAGTTCCAGTTCTGCTTGGGCGACCCCGAAGGCATTGCTGTCAAGTCAATCGAAACATTCGAGTTCGATGGAAACGAACCATTCAAGGAATCCGACGTCGAACTCAATTTCCCGATGCTTCCCAGCGAGTTGAACGCACAGTAATGCTCCTTGAACTCGACGGCCTCGCCCCACAAGTAGACGAGACCGCATTCGTCAGCGCTCAAGCCACGTTAATCGGAGACGTGCGCGTCGGACCTCGATCAAGCGTCTGGCCCGGAGCGGTAATCCGAGCCGACAGCGGAACCATCACTATCGGTTCCGGGTCCAATGTCCAAGACAACTCCGTCATCCACGCCGACGACGATGCAACAATCGGCGATGGTGTGACGATCGGTCATGGCGTCGTTGCCACGGCAAGACGATCTCGACGGTTGCCTCCTCGGCAACGGATCAGTGCTCAACGACGGCGTCGTCTTGGGAAAGGGCTGCCTAGTTGCGGCGGGCTCCGTAATCCCCGAAAACGCCAATTTCGATGACAACCAATTGATCCGCGGCGTTCCCGGCAAGGCCATCGGCAGCTTCGGGCTAGACATCAGGATCTCCAGAAACGCGCCGCACTCAGTTACGTAACCGCATCGAACGTTACAAGCGCTCTTCGACTGCAGACAACCAACTGTAGATGCTCAGCAGCTACATCCGCTCGGGCGCGTTCATCCCCATGATGTTCAGCGTGCCCTCAAGCACGATGCGCGCCGCGTCAACCAACAACAACCTAGCCTTGGTCAACTCCGCATCCGCCGGTTCGCTCGAGATCACGCGGCAGGCCTCGTAGAAGCGCTGCAACTCACGCGCCACCTCGTATGCGAAGTGCGGCATGTGATGTGGCTCCAACATTTCCGCCGATCTAGCAATTACATCAGGCAACTCGTTCAACCGACGCATCAGCGCTAACTCGCGTTTCTCGGTCAACAGACCAACGTCACCATCCTCAAATTCGATACCGCGCTCCTTAGCGGCGCGCAACACCGCGCACAGCCGCGCATGCGCGTACTGCACATAGAAGACTGGGTTTCTCCGATGTCTCCGCTTTCGCCAACTCAAGATCGAACTCCATGTGCGTGCCGCGGAGTGCGCTCCAAGAAGATGTAGTGGCACGCGTCGGCACCAACCGCTTCCAACAACTCATCTGCACCAATGAAATTGTCGTTACGCTTGCTGAACCTGACCGTCTCGTCGCCCTCTTTGAAGTTCACGATCTGGTTGATGATGATCGTCAACTTATCGGGATCGACGCCCAACGAATCGACGACAGCCTTCATTCTCGCAACGTGTCCGTGGTGGTCTGCACCCCAAACGTTGATCACGCGATCGAAACCACGCTTCACGAACTTGTTGTAGTGGTATGCGATATCCGTCCCGAAATACGATGGACCGCGCGCTCCAAGGAACGAATGATCACGCTATCGCTCTCGAGCCCCACCTTGGTGCCCAAGAACCACAACGCTCCCTCGCGCTCCGAGATGAACCCGCGTTCCCTCAGCAGTTTCCAGCGATTCGTTGAAATCATCGCCATCTATCAAGATCTCTCGCTGAACCACTCGTCATACTCGATTCCCATCATTGCCAGCGTGCCGTGAATGTTTGCCAACGTGCGATCCAAGGCCGTTTTGCCGATAACGCCAATCGCGTCACCCTTGTCCATCTCAACCACCGAATCGCCAAACTCGGCGTACAACTCTGCACCGAGGTCTACAACAAATTCGCCCGGATACGACTCCACTCCTAATTCAGCATCTTTCCCGGCGGCCTGCATGAAACGAACGTATGCCGATTCCATGAAGATGCGCATCTGGTTGCCAGCGTCGTTAACGTAGTACTCCCGCTGGACATCGAATCCCGCCGCATCCAAGATGTTGGCGATGCCGTTGCCGATCACCGCGCCCCGTACATGCCCGATATGCAACGGCCCGGTAGGGTTCACACTCACGAACTCGACCTGGACCTTCTGACCCGCACCGATGTCGGAATGCGCGAACTCCACGCCTTCCTCGCGGATCACATTGACCTGAGATCGCAGCCATTCGTCATCCAATCGGAAGTTAATGAATCCCGGTCCCGCGATGCTCACATCGCAAACCATCGACGACTTCTCAACCGATTCCGCGATCTTGGTCGCAATCTCACGCGGCGCCATACGCATGCTCGATGCCAGCGCCAGCGCAATGCTCGTGCTGTAGTCGCCGTGCTCCGCAATCTTCGGTCGCTCCACCGTCGGAGTAACTTCGCCAATCTCTGGCAACGCGTCTGCTGCAATGGCTGAATCTAGAGCCGAAACAACCATCCCTGCAATCTGTTTTTGGGGGTGCATACTATCCCAATCTGGAACCCTTGCGCGCAAGCCGAAAATCTCGACTGCACATGTATCCTGCTAACACACCAACTTCCGTACATATATAAGGATAGAAAACGCGATCGGCTGGCTCACGCCAATCGATGCGAACTCGTACCATGTCCAAATCAAAACAACGCCCCAAAGACAACCAACGCGCCGAAGACATCGCCAACGCCGGTGGCCGCGTCGGGATTCCGATCTCTGACGACCACGCACAACTCGCCGCGAAGTGGGGCGACTCGCTCTATCTGGCCTTCGATGTCGTACGCGCCATCGATTATCAAGCCCACGAACCCTCCAACGTGTTCAATCCCGTCGTACCAAGCGTCGATTCCTGCGAAAGGACTGACTGATGAGCAACAAACGCGAAGAGTTGGCATTTGATTCGATCCACGCACTAGCTCCAAAAATCAAAGATGGATCGGTTTCACCCGTCGAAATCACCGAGATCGCGCTGGAACGCACGGCGACTCTCAACCCCAAGCTAAACGCCTTTCTCGACATCTGGCAAGATGAAGCGCTCGCAGCCGCTACCAAAGCCGAAAGAGAAATCGCGGGTGGTCGCTACTTGGGCCCGATGCACGGTATCCCGATCGGTCTCAAAGACCTCGTCGATGTCGCTGGCAAAGTCACCACCGGCGGCTCGAAAGTCCTTCAATCCAACATCGCCGCGCAAGATGCAACCGTCACAGACCGTTTGAACCGCGCCGGCGCAATCTCATCGGCAAAACCAACCTCGTCGAGTTCGCATTCGGTGCGGCTGGCGTAAATCCCTACACCGGAGATGCCCGCAACCCGTGGGACACCGAAAAGATTACCGGCGGCTCAAGCAGCGGATCTGGCGCAGGCGTCGCCGCGGGCATGGTCTACGGTGCCCTCGGTTCCGACACCGGCGGAAGCATCCGGATGCCCGCTTCCCTGTGCGGCATCGCAGGTTTGAAACCAACATACGGCCGTGTCCCCCGCACTGGCGTCCTCGACCTCTGCTGGAGTTGCGACCATGTCGGACCAATGACCCGCCGAACCGCAGATTGCGCCCACATGCTCAACGCAATCGCCGGACACGACCCGCTCGACATCGCGTCATCTACGCGCCCTGTTCCCGACTTCGCGGCAGACCTCGATAAGGGTGTCGACGGATTGCGTATCGGCGTCCCCGAACACTACTTCTTCGACCCCGACATCGTCGATCCAGAAGTTGCAGCAGCAGCCAACACCGCAATCGAGTTGCTGGCCAATAACGGTGCCGAGATCGTTTCCGTGCCTATGGATTGGGTGTCGAACGGCAGGTCGATCAACATGATCATCACCCTCGCCGAAGCCACCTCGGTCCACGAAAAACTGCTCGCCGAACACGCAGACGACTACACCCCGGCAGTTCGGAGCCGCATCCAATCCGCGCTCGCGATGCCCGCCGTCGACTACGTCCGCGCCCAACGCGCCCGCCAAGCCTTCTCCGTCGCCATGGCCGAGGCAACCAAACACGTCGACGTCATCGCTACGCCAACGGTGCCGGTCCGCACGCACACCATCGCCGAATGCACACCCGCGCCCGGCGAAGCCATCGCCGAAAAAGGTGCCGAGATTCCGCTCTTTACATCCATATTCGACGTCACCGGTGAGCCATCGCTCTCCGTAATGTGCGGATTCGATTCCTCCAACATGCCATCGGAATGATGATCACCGGCCACGCATTCGACGAATCCACCGTCCTCCGAGTAGGCCACGCCTACGAAGAACTCGCCGGTTGGCACAAACACAGACCCAATCGTCTAACTGTAGGGGAAGGTTTCAAACCTGCCCTTCGGCTCTGTGCCACTGTACTTATGAATAATTCTCCTCCTCACGAAGAAGTAACTTCTCCCACCTCCACGTGTCCCCTCTCCCGCTAGGCGGGAGAGGGCTAGGGTGAGGGCACTCCCATGCACACCGAAAACCAATCCGCGAATCACAAAAAACGCCCGCGACACGACCGATACGTGGATCGACCATCAATGCGCGCCGAACGCGGCTTCGCTTGCATCGGACTCGACCGACCGACCGACCCTGTAAACGTCGGCCACGCGCTCCGCGCCGCATTCTGCTTCGACGCTAGATTGGTGATCATCGGAGGGGACACGCCGAGTATCCGATTTCGAAACTGACCACCGATCCGATGCGATCCTTCCGACACATCCCGGTCATCAAGTCCAAAAATCTGCTCGATGCAGTCCCAGAAGGCACCACCGTTGTCGGCATCGAACTCTGCGACGACGACCGCAAACTCTTAGGGACTTCACCCTCCCCGAACGAGCGCGCTGTCTAGTCGTCGCGCCCGAAAACGCTGTCTGTATCTCAGACCGAATCACTCGACAATGCGCACACAAGGTCATGATCCCGACGATGGCATCCCTAAACCTGGCATGACCGTCAACATCGCCATGTACGACCGACTAGCCAAAGCGTGGCCAAAGCGGCTGTCCAGGCGCGAATCTATCGACCCGACAACTGCGGGCGTTGAAATTTTCGGGCCCAACGCGTGAATCTTCGGACTCCGCCGCGACGCTCCCGCATGCAGGTCGTCTACTACGGCTGGTACATGCTCGCCGGCGCATCCCTGATGAACGCCTTCGGCGGCACCATCGTCTGGCAAGGATTCGCCGTCTTCTTCATCCCCGTATCCGAATCGCTCGGGATCACGTATTGGCAGACCTCTCTCGCGTTCGCGCTCGCACGGGCCGAAAACGGACGTCCTCGGACCATCACCGGATGGGCACTCGACAGATTCGGTTACATGCCCCTCATCTTGGGCGGCACAAAAATAAAAGGAGTGGATGGAAATCATCCACTGTCAACGACGAAATCAACACCCCCCAACCGAAAACTTACAAAATCAAGACATTGTCAATCATACTGGAAAACCAGGAACACTAACATACTAAAATCGACTAATTAATACATAATACACACCACCGGCGCCCCAAGGAAAACATACACATGATCAATGCGTTAGAAAAACCCCAAGAACTGTGAATCACGATCTCAAAAACCTAAAGCGTCATCGGCCCTTACAATGATCGCACGAAAAAGTCCAAAGTCAGAAACCCACCCCCACTCCCCTACCTACCAAGCAGTAAACCTACAATAAGACTACCCCACTACTTAATCACCCGTTTCTCCTCCCTCAACCCACAACAGAAAGACGAGGAACAAACACTACAAAAACCCTCACCAAATCTACCACATAAGCAATTTAAGCAGAACATCACCTCCCCATCCCCCAGACTAACACGGATCCCCATCTACGAATACAATCCCAAACCTAGACAGCCCCCTCTCCATCAACGACCACGCGCAAACTCAGCAACCCTGACCTCCATTTAAATCACAATGCCCCATTGCCCGGACTGCATAATCAAAACAACCACGCCTCAGAATCCTTCACCCCGTACCTCCGCACAACCATCCCTAAAAACCACCCTCCTAAACCAAAAATCCTACCAAAAGTGGATCCGATCCCACCAAACAACATACCTCCCACCAATCAATTCCCAGCCCACACTATCACACTAACTTCCAACCCTCAACACCACAACAACCTCCTCCCAATCAAGTCAGCCCATTATACCTTACTCCAACTCCCATAACCCACCGCAAGGTCGCGTGGGACTCGACATCCCTGGAACAATCCGTATCAACAATGACCTCCAGCTAAACAACCCTACAAACGAACCATCGATGTCATAAGCAAACCCTAGTCTACCAATCGGACGCATTCAATTTAAACCTCCTGCTAAAGGGGGGCCATTCCAGCTTAGGGCATTAGACGTGACTACAATCCCCCCACAAACAAAACTCCTATAAAAAACCGAAACAAATCATCGATATCTGCAGTACGGACATAGTGCCCCCTTTCCATCCAAACGAAGCCAACTATATCCAAATATTTGCCTCACCCCGCGAGGTGTTACGAACGCGCAAATCTGAACCAACGACCGGAACCAACGAATTCACGCCCCCATATATGGACTGCTAAATCCACCAACAACCCCAAACTACACCAGGCAAATCACCCAATATCACACACTCAACATACAACATCACAAAGTAGTCGTAACCTCCCTATTACATTTCCTGTAATAAATAATATCCTTCCTTACATCATCCTGTCGCAGGCGGAGACATATATCGCATTCATGCTCATATATCTCTTCGTCATCTCCATCGGATCATCGACGTCATTCATGCAGGCCACCACCGCCGCTCTCAACACTTGGTTCATTCGCTATCGCGGACTTGTCATGTCCATCAACAGCGCCGGCTTTTCGGGCTGGCGGCGCAATCATGATTCCGCTAATATCCGTTGGCGTCTTAAACCTCGGCTGGCAGACAACCTCTTGGATCATCGGTGCCGCCCTGATCGTCTTCATTGCGCCACTGGCTTTCCTATTCCGGCGATCGCCCGAAAGCATGGGCCTCAACCCCGATGGTGGCGTTTCCCTGTTTCACATGCGGCGCCGACTTCGCAGAAACAAAAGAGCCCAGAACCAGTCATCAGCGGCTGAGCAAGCCGACGATGCTCAAACGTCCGGCTCAAATGCGAACGCAGAAGGAGATTTCACCACCAAGCAGGCGTTGAAAACCCCGTCGTTCTGGATATTGGTGTTGGCGACCACATTGCGAATGTCGGTCCACGGAACCATCTTCCTCCACTTCATACCCATCCTCGTATGGCGCGGCGAAACCCAACAGACATCCGCAAACCTCGTCGGCCTTATTTCCCTATCCGCAGTACCCGTAATCTTGTTCACGGGATACATCAGCGACCGCGTTGGGCGACCACTTCTACTCACAATCCTCTACAGCGCGTCCGCCGTCAGCTTGCTGTTAATGACTCTGGTGGAAGGCACCTGGCCCATCTTCATGGCAATGCTGCTCTTCACCGGCTCCGAAGCCGGCAGCTCGCTCAACTGGGCCATCGTCGGCGACCTCTTCGGACGCGCCCGATACGCCACCATCCGCGGCATGATGGCACCCATCTACAACCTATCCCTCATCATCGCCCCCGTCGCCGCCGGCTACACCTTCGACCAACTCGGCACCTACCAACCCGTCCTAATCGCCGGCACCGTCCTCATGTTCATCGCGGCGCTAGTGTTCTTAGTTCTGCAACCAGCAGTTCGAAAGGCGCGCCGACTCGGGTAAGCCCAAGTTCACAGTCCACGGGCGTCATCCAAGCGAAATAATCGACGCAATTCGCAGATCGGGTTGGTGCGGGGTAGACACCAAAAAGAATGGTCGGGGCAACAGGATTTGAACCTGTGACCTCTTGACCCCCAGTCAAGTGCGCTACCAAGCTACGCCATGCCCCGACTCTGTATCCCAGAGTCTATCAAAACGCACTTCCCCATCCTCCCCCGTCATTCCCGCAAGCAACGTCATTCCCGCGCACGCGGGAACCAGAGTCAAAGCACACAATGTCCCCGCAGGGATTGCACGTCGTCATTCCGCGCACGCGGGAACCCAGAGAAAAACAAATCACGCCGTTTACCCTCCCCTTCGCGAGCGAAGGGGACGCGGAGCGAAGCGAACGCAGGGGATGCCCGGGGCAGACGGGATGCAGGGTTGCCCCCGTTCACGGGGGAAATGTCCGAAGGACAAAGGGGGCATGCCCAAAACACCCCTGCGATATCCTACCAATAAGGATTGCCCCAACCATGATCCCCCTAATCGCAAACCACGCCGACGACAACTCGCCGAAATCTGCCGACGCCACCACGTCAAACGGCTAGAAGTCTTCGGCTCCGCAGCCGTCGGCGACTTCAACCCCGACACCAGCGACATCGACTTTCTGGTCGAAATTCAACTTTTGCCGCCCGGCAAACACGCCGACGCATTACTTCGGCCTCCTCAACGACCTCCAATCAATCTTCGGACGCTCAATCGATCTTGTCGAAGACAAAGCAATCGAAAACCCATACTTCCGCGCATCCGTCGACGAAACCCGCCAACCGTCTATGGACACTGAAATCAAAACATACCTCGCAGACATCCAACAAGGCCGCCGAACGCATCATCGAAGTTACTCTCGACAAGTCGTTCGAAGAATTCGAGGGCGACTGGGTGACCCGAGCCGCAGTTGAACGTCAATTCCTGATCATCGGCGAGGCAACCAACGTCATCGCCGCCAAAGACGAAGCCATCGCCGCACTGTTGGGCAACTACCCACAAATCATCGGCTTTCGAAACATCCTCGCACACCGATACCGAGACATCCTAGACCGAACTGTCTGGGGAATCATCGAAAACAATCTCCCAGACCTGCTCCGACAAGTCACCAACCTCCTCAAACAGCCTTAAACACCCTCCCCTTCGCAATTCGAAGCGAACGCAGGGGATGCTCCGTGACGGTGCGAAGCGACCGTCAATCCGGCGAAAGCCAGCGCGTCAGCGGGCGGAACGTCCATCCAGAGGGGAAGGGCAACGGGAAACTCCCGCGAACTGACCCAGAATCCATCATAGGCGAGGTTACGCAAACGCCCCTTTCGCTCTGCGAAAGGGGCGCGAGCGAGCGCAGCGATGCGAGCGGGGTATGCACGCGTGGGGGCGGTCGCGCAGCACGCACCACCTCCGCCATCCAAACAATCAACCAACCCCTCGCACCCCTGTACCATCCACCCCATGCCACACTCAAAACCCCAACTGAAACACTTCGCGCGCCAAATGCGAAACGACCCCACCGACGCCGAGCACACCCTCTGGCAACACCTCCGAACCAGAAGACTAGACGGCCACCGCTTCGTCCGACAATACGTCATCGAAACCGCAATCGTAGACTTCGCCTGCCCCAGCCACAAACTAGCAATCGAACTAGACGGCGGCCAACACGACCAACGAAGAACCCAAGACCAACTCCGCACCCAACGCCTAAACCAACACGGCTACCGAGTCATCCGCTTCTGGAACAACGAAGTCATCAACAACATCGAAGGCGTCCTACAAACCATCCAACAATCCCGCGCTAAACAACAACCAACAAACGATGCTGCTGACTTTGGTCACGCAATACGCCTTCTCGATCAAAGCGAAACAGGGGCGAGCGAGCAAGCGAAGCGAGCGGTGGTATGCCCGCGGCGCCGGGATATGGTCGCTCCGCAGCCGTCGCGACAGGCTTCCTCACGCCTCCGCACTCGAACGCCAATTCGAAATCATCGGCGCGAAGCGACAGCGGCCGTAAGTCGGCGAAAGCAGCGCTTCAGCGGACGGAACGTCCTGCCAGTGAGGGGAAGAGGCAACGGAGAAACGCGCGCGAACTGCGCCAGAATCCATCATAGGCGCGGGTTACGCAAATGCACTTTCGCAAAGCGAAAGGGGCGCGAGCAAGCGAGCGATGCGAGCGGGGTATGCACGGGGTGGGGCCGGGACGTCGCTCGCAGCCGTCGACAGCTTCCCTCACCCCCTCCGCACTCGAACGCCAATTCGAAATCATCGGCGAAGCCACCAGCGACCGTCATTCCGGTGAAAGCCAGCGCTTCAGCGGACGGAACGTCCATCTAGAGGTGCGGGGAACAGGCGGTAAAATTGGCTTGGAGGATCTATAAGACATGGCAACCACCACAATGTCCGCTACCGAGCACCGCCAGGGACGCGCGGGACTTCCTCTCGGTTTCCGACCAGGAGTTCGACCGCGGCGACCGCGTTGCAAGGCGCCGAAAAGCTATGGGGCGCTGCCGCCCACTCCATCATGTCCGTAGCAAAAGAACGCGATTGGCACACCCCGCAGAGCCACACGCCGTGAAGAGCCGCACGCACGCATGGCGATAGTGAACGACACGCTGATAGCGTCCACCAATTTCGCACGTTGCCGAAAAGTTCACGTCTACTTCTACACGGCACATGGAAGATTGGGAACGCGATGCTGATTCGCCCGCTCGCAGTCCACGATCTAGGTCTGGCGGCGCCTTGCTGAGGAGATAGCAGCGTATTTGAAATGCTTTGCGCACGGGGCAAGACCCGTCGCGCTGTAGAGCGCTTATTCCGCATCGTCAGTGAAGCTATGAACGGCCTTGCACAACGTCTCGACCGACCCCGCCGAATTAAACGATTGAAACGAAGCCGGATGGAAGTTCCCCAAAACAGAGCAGACATCGCAAAGGGCGCTTACAAATGAAACTGCGTAACAGTCATCCTCAGAAGAATTTACCTGTGGTTCATCGTACACGAAACACGATATCGACCTCACGACGATGTAACCGCTTCATTGGCACCAACACAATGACGCTGGGAAATCGACTCCCAGTTCTGGAGGCTTCGGAGCTTTTCTGAAATCAACTTCTCTCAACGACTCCAAAATCGATCGGGTACGCACGCTTCCCAGTCCGTGGGATCGGAGATCCGTCACTATCGGCTGCGTGTTTGACGACTTGCCCACGCAAGTTGTAGTGGACACGAGCAATCCAACAACTTTTGGACAGACTGAATTCTTGTGATTTTACTGAACACAATCAATTCGCAAAGGGTCGACAAAGTATCAATTGCAGTTCATTACGGATCGGCATACCAAGATTTCCGATGCTTCCGCTTTCCTCCCCACCCTTTTCCTTTTTCCCCTCCTTTTTTCCTCTTTTCACTTTTTTCCTTCCTCCCCGTTTTTTCTTTCTTCCTTTCCCTCTTTTTTTTCCTGTTTCTCTTTCTCCCTCTTTTTTTCCTCCCCCTTTTCCCGCTTCCCCCCCTATTTGTTTCTTCCCCCTCTTCTTCTTTTTCTTTCCGTAGCCCAACCATCAGACGGTCGAAGGTCTAGCCGACTGCCTGTCTTTCATCTGCAATCAGCCAATTGAAATCTAGATGGAATTCTACCGGAATAAATGACGACGAGGTCGCTATGAACCGAAGTGCGTCCATTCGTCAAGCTCTTTGGCGTTCTTCACAGGATCTCCAGCTATCTCGAACCGAGATGTCACTCGACGAAGCTGACAGGCAAAAAAATAGTGGGATTCGTAAGCTCAAAATCTCTACCTATATTCGGTGTGTGCAGCGCTGACGGCAGAGTCGCGATGGAGATCTCTGAAGTCCAAGACCCATGAATAATCGCCGTACGATCGCGCAGTGAATGATCTAGCAAAAATGAATTAAACAATCGCGATGCGGCGTGTCATATATGTCGTCTTGGATGTCGCCAAATCGCCGAAATCGTCCAGTAAATTCCATGTATGGATCAACCTCGCCGACAATCTTTCCCCTTGCGAGTTCGAGAAGCCCGAATGGGATCACGATTTTCAAACTTTCGGTGATCTGGGCGAAGACGGAAATTCCCTATCACATTACGCTGCGAGTGGCGTCCGTCGTTTAATCTTGATCAACTTCTTCCGAGCCGAGGTCGAGCGCAAAAAAGCCGAAATCGGCTCGCCCTCCACTGTGTACGCTATCGAATGAGAAACCAGAGCAAATCTCAAACAGTCCGACCAACCCAACGCATGCTCATCCAAGCATTGCAAGAGCTTTCCGAAACAAACAATTCACAAGTCCTATTAGAGCACCAACGTCCGTACCGGGATAGCAGCAGCAATTACTCAGTGACAGCTTGAGTTGCGATACATCGATCGGGATGGTCAGGCGCCATCCTGTAATCCTTTCAGGCAGTGAGACAGTGGTTTATCGTCAAATTGCGGTGAAACACTTGGCGTTATCCCGATCACGCGTTAGTATAAGGGATTGTGTGTGCGTGGAAGAGGATTCCTATAATCACACGATCGTTGCGTTCTCTACTCGGTGCGGTAATATGGACTCAACCAATTAGCGATGTACTCGATGCACAGACATCAATGTCCGATCCTAGATAATCGCAATCATCGAACTAGCGTGTGTGTCATAAAGCACCTCTGTAGACAATCATACCTTTCGTGAGATGGGATTCCCGATTCCACATTACGATCGCGACGATCCTAATTCTCCAATTCTCGGGACGACCGTGCAATCAATCAATGATCGAGGCGACGATCCTAGCATGTGTGACACACCGGAAGGTGATGAGAATTACTATCATACATGATTGCTATACAACGAGTCAGGGTCAAGATTAAATCCTGCACGATGATTTGACCGATTGAGTGCCTGCATTAATACGGTCAAATTACTTTAGTGGCCCCGTCGTAGAGTTGAACAACCGTTCTGCTAAGCTTAGGAGATGATGCGCCAGTATTGTGCTACTCCTCAAATGCCGCTTCTCATATTGCATTGTTGAGCGGTCGACCAAATCACGAGATAGAAATTGGTTCGGCGAAACGCTAAAGATTGAATGAGTAATCAAAACGACTATGCGGGGTTCGGGCGGTGGGGGGCATGGCGCCGTGAGTCAACCAGCCTAACAGCAAAACACCCTAATTACACTTGATCTCGCACACCCCGCAAGAACACACAAACACCCGCACCCATATTCCATCTTACACAATCACGGACAATCATCGTCAAAGATTGCAACACCCAAACCAATAGTCCCTTTAATCCGATTTCAAACAGCCTCACCAACCGCGCCCCTTCAAATACCTCGGACGATCACCACACTTAAACGAATGGCAGTGCCACAAGCAGCCTGCAATCTCAAGAATGATTCAGTCCACCCGAGCGCCGTTAAAGCACAACCTCGAATAGCTTCACACGGCGGCGCCGGCTCACGATCAGTCAGATCGGAAATCGTACGCGCGCTAGCTGAACACCCCCCCCAAGTCAACCCAATCATTAAGAGCCCGTTGTCCACCAGCTTACCGCCAACGCCAGACAGATCGATCGATCCATGCCCACAACGCCTCCGCCGACGATTACAAGTCGTCGCACAATCCGCCAGAAGGGCTGTAGCACCTG